GCAAGAATAATCCTATTTACAGCTAATACTTGAAGATGTAGGGGGCCTACAAGGATGCAGGAGAGGGACTCTTCATCACGGACTGTAGTGATAGAACAAGGGACAATGGGTTCAAAAAACAAGGGAAGTTCAGGTTAGATACAAGGCAGAAACTCTTCCCTGTGAGGGTGCTGAGGCGCTGGCCCAGGGTGCACAGAGAAGCTGTGGCTGCCCCATTCCTGGCAGTGTTCAAGGCCAGGTTGGACACAGGGGCTTGGAGCAGGTTGGCCTGCTCTAGTGGAAGGTGTCCCTGCCTGTGGCAGGGTAAGAACTGGATGAGCTTAAGGCTCTCTCCAACCCAAACCATTCTATGATTCTATGTATAGACCTTAAACTAATTTGCTGTCCAAATCCAAGACTTCATCCCCTGTATTTTAGGAGAGATATGTGCCTCTAATCACCTGACAGGATATACAGTATGCCAGCCAACACTGAGCAACACAAGATGTTACACAGGCTCCATACATAATATACTTCTTTCTGATAAATTCTGAATTACTTCTGGAATCAAATACCATTACACCGTAATGCAGAACTGAAAGGAATCTCCTGGGCTCGTGAGTGCAGTGTGCTACTGCCCAAGACAATCTCACCATACCATTTTTCTCCTAAGGGCATTCCATTAAAAATTACAAGAAACATCTTTAAATACTAAACCATCTCCCGAGTATTAAATATTTTAATATAATTTAAATTGTTTCTGTGATCACTATAAATATTTTTCTTTAAATCAGCTTGTTAGTATCTGAGTGTTTAAAGGCCAGGCATTCACAAGCATTTTAAGCTCTTAAATAACTTGAAAGGGTTCCCTATTAAATATTGAAAATACTGAAAAACCCTTCCAAAGTATAAAATTACAGCCCTGGTTAATAAGGATGGTAGAAGCAACACCCTCTCCTTCCAAATTACCCTGTTTTCCTTGTTCAGATGTGTAATTTATTATGGAGTGAATAATTCATGGGTACTGTGAGACCTTAACCAATGCTGCACAAAATCAGCTGTGAACAGCACACTGGCTGACCTTTCAGTCACTTTGCTGTAAGTTGCATTCACTGTCCCAGCCATTTATGTTTTACTGGTACAGTCTTCTCAAACCTGAAATCACCGATATTTGCCACACTTACCCAGGAAAATAAGAATATATGACACATGCTTAAATCTATGAATGCAACAAACAGGATGGTAACAGACACCTTGCAAAAAACCTCAATCCCCAACCTCATACCCTTGGTATAACCTCATACTCCTAAATTCACACTACTCTGAATTTAGCAGCTTAGGAGAAAACAGCCAACTCAAAGATACCCAACATTCCCTTTACCTCAATCTTCCATGTAGTCCAAAAGAGAGACAGAGAAAGGGCAAAAAGGTGTTGAAGAATTTAAGACATTAATCCTAATGGCAGCAACACCATTATGTTCGAAGTCAAGAGAAATCTCAAATACACCACAGGTTTCTGATTGCTGACTCTGTGAAGCACATTAGATACTGATAGAGGAACAAAAGGCATAAGAGTAAGGGAATACAGATTCATTTCAGACAGTGGTCTGACGCATCACTGTCTGACTTTATTAATAACATCTAACAGTGAGTTTGGGACTAATTTTTCTCTTTTTCACACTCTAAACCCCAACAATGAAAAGCTGTAGCCATAGTAACCCTGACGGTGTTATTAGGGAGGACTGCTTGCATCCACTCATGGAAAAAAAAGTGGGTTTAAATTGAAACGGCAGCACTGGAATAGCAAGGGTGGGGGCAAGGTGTTTGCTACTGTGTCGTAAAAGCAAACACATCCAAGGACCAATTCAGCATCAGCTGCCAATAAAATGGGCAGGTTGTGACATTCTGTATCGCTGCTATTTCTTTAACAATTCAGGTAGTTAAGTCCAAGAGACCAAAAGGCAAACAACATTGCCTGTGATCCTACTGACATCAATGGTTCACCTCACAGTGGTTTCAGTAGGGACAGGATGTGGTTTAGGGTTTACACCTGTGGAGAGCAGGAAATGCTTTCTCAGTCAGAAGTACACTGAAAAAAGAGCATCTACAGCTGTACAAAAATCCTGACTGTATCCTGAATGTAGGAGAGTTAGTAACGCCAAAGGTGAGAGCATCCTAAACTCACTGTAGCAGATCCAACAAGGGTCACCTTTCAAAATCACCTGGTAATAACAACATGGGTGAAGATGAACAGGAAAATTCCTCTCCCTCCACAGAAACCCTTTTACAAGCAGTATCTGTGAATTTGGCACATCAGTTAATCGACTGCATTTTCTTGCTTCATCACTGCAGTCTGAACACCACTGTAACCCCAATTATATAGTGACAGCAGCATTAGGCGTTTATTAGACATGACATCCTCTACCCTCCTTCAACATGACCATGTCCCTACAGAGAACATGCAGAAGAGAGGCCCCAGATACTCGAGCAAGATAATATTATTGACACGATTGTCCACAACAGTCTTACAACTCAAGTACTTTTTTCAACTGTGGAAGATCCTAATTGGCAGCAGCAGCAGCTAACACCAACATCCAAGTGATCCCCCTGGAAAAGGCAGCTCAAGCTGTTAGGAGGCAGAGGTGCAGCTTCCCCAGCGACACCAACGACCTGACAAGAGCAGGTTTGGTATATGCTCCATGCCTGACATACCTCAAACAGCCACAGTCTGATCCCTATTTGTCAGCACTGCTGTAAAGACAGAACTGCTCGTGGCTCCCATCCAAATTTAGTAAGGCTTTTTAATCAGCAAACCCAAAATCAAACAGCAAAGCTCAGGAACACCTGCAGTGATGCCCAGCACGGTACTGGCTTTTCCCTGCCTTTATTAAAGTGTTCCTGAGAATATGCCCTGATTTCTGTTAAAACAGTTCTTTTGCATATTCCCTGCTGGAGCAAATGGTAGCTCTATAAATGCCTCAAAAAAAGCATTTAATTCAGATTTAATAGGGCAGTAAAAAAAACGTATGGGTTCTAAAAGAACACTTACAGCAGTTTAATGAGTGCATGGGAGAAATCTGGGCAGAAATATTCCAGCAAGACAATGCAGTGCCTGGTTTCGAGTTCATTATCCTCTGAGATAGACTCACTTAGTTTACATTTGTGATTAAATCTGCAACAGAAGTTGCACCGCAACCCCCTGTTTTTCAACGTGAATTAGCAAAAGGAAAAGCAGAAAACCCACCAGTGCTTCATCAGCTTGTACTCAGTGTGGGCATTGCCTGGAAACAAGCCCCTAGAAGCTCATGCACTTGTAAAAGCCAGGATACTGCCTCTTGCTAGCCAAGTTCATTTACAGTAGTTGCCCCATTGAGGATGTGCTTTTATCATCAATCCAATCATGCAAAACCTATCACTATGTCTGTGTCTTCTGCTCCACCTCCCTCCCTTTCCTTTTAGCATTCTTCCTTTTTAACCCACCTGCAGTCATCTTCACTCTGTGTCAATTCTTGGCTTTTGTCCATGCTTTGAGCTCTCTTCATTCCCCATTTTTTTGATCATGGAGGCTACTTCTAGGCCTAATCCTAAAGCTGCCCTATACACAGGGCTACAGCAAAACCTGCCCTCTTCTCTGCAACTGAATTGAGCAGGTAAGTGCAGTGATAAAATTCTTGTCTGTGCAGACAAAAAAAAAACCCCAAACTTCTGTCTAAACTGCCCACAGGCTCAATCACTTAAAGGAAAAGAATAGATGGAACAGCACAAAAAGATGATGTAGCAGTGTCAGACAAACCCCTTCAAAGCCAAACTGCAACACACTGGATCTTGGGGCCAGCTGCTGTTATTATCCATTTAGAGCCGGTTGCTGCTACTCCTCCAGCATGGATTAGGTCCTGTTCTGTACTGCAACTCAGTGTGAGCAACAGTTGGGCTTTAAGCACCTAATGGCCTCTCATGCCGGAAGACCCCTGGGTGACTCTCCCAAGGACCATCTGTGATTGCTTCACTTCACTGGAGAGAGCATCTGAGATTGTGTTTAACATGAGAGTCCTCAGAGGGCAAAAGCTTGATTTTGTACTCCTGGTTTTAGCTGATACAAAAGACATTTGTCTTTGGCTCCTTCCACAAAGCTCAGCAATGTGTGCTGCCACCACAGTCACCCCGCGGCGCACTTACACTTCAAGCCACACAGGAGATGAGCTCAGGGCTTGTTTTCTCTGTGCAAAAGCTTGATCAGTCACAAGGACTGACCACAAACATCTCTGTGAATCAGTTGCCTTCCTTCGTATTTCTCCAAGCAGGGCACCAATGGGCTCTCTCTTAAGACTGCACCTGAAAATTCTTGTATTAAACTGTGTTGGCTGATACAGGTAATAAATGCATTAAAGGACTTATTAGGGAAGATGGGGTTTAAGATACATACTTTTGCCATTGGGTTGTTTTATGTATAGAGTTCAATTTGCAATTCCTATTCCAGAGAGAATGGGAAGGTGCATTTATAATCATGTCCTGCATTTAACATACTCAGAGGAAAGGCACCTAAGTGCACAGCATTACGATCACTAGCATGTTTTTGAACTGGCTAATTGGATGAAACCTCAGGGAAGAAAATGTTCAAATACCTTTGGAAATGATGATTTTTCTTTTTATGACTGAGTATGTTTATTTTGGGCAGTAGTACAAGTAGTCTAGGAGAAAATGGGAATACAAAAATATATAGGATGTCTACCACATAATGGCTCCTTGCAGGAGGAGGAACAATAAGCATTTAATAAAAATGCAAATCTAAAGTCATCTGAGGAGCAACTTCTGCCATAATTTCACGGGGAGAGACCAAGTGCAGCTGGGTTAACACCCTGAACTTCCTTCAAGAGATGGGCTTTCAGCAGCAGTTCATTCCCCTTCACCTAGAAAGGACTGAGCTGAATTATTTATGTTTTGGAAATCTTTGGCAGTCCATATTCATCACTCTGACACAGGAGATACAGTTACTGCATATTGTTCTAGCTGGTGGAACTCACCAAGCTCTCCCCGCATGTAAAAGGCAGCAGCAGGATGGAGCCTGCTTTCAGCCTGCTGAATTCTCTCCTTGGCCCCATGCAGGAGCAGGCAGGCGAGACCACCTGCAGAAAGCAGAGCCGAGGGCAGAGGAAGCGGTGCAAGCAAGGACAGAGAACTGGGTTGTTGGCTTTGACTCTGGGCAGCGACTGCTGGAGCTCTGTGCAACAGCGCATGAAAGGACCTAAGGACTATTTATGGTATGGTGCTTTCTTATCTCTTGGGTGTCTTTCAATACATACGATCCAAATGAATGAGTTGTCTGTAATAATTAAATACTGGAACCTATTTAACTGATCCTATCACCAAGCAGCTAACAGGAAGCATAAATCATCTTACTATCTGCTTTTTTAGTGTAACAAAACCCTTTCCATGGTTTTTAGACCTGTTGTTTACATCAGTAGGGAAACTTCAGGTACAGATATCTGCACAAAGAGCTGGTTATGATTTGTACTGTGGATGATGCCCAGTCTTCCTGGGCTGCAGCAACACCTTTGCTTTTAGAAATGAAGATTAATAGAGTGTAACTTGGTAGGCAAAGCTTGAGCCATTAGCCTGTGCTCAGACCAGCTCCTGAATGCAGATCTGAATTTAAAAGAATGACTTAAGCACACCTGGCTGGGAGCAAAGCAGGCTGCTTGTCAGCACTCTGACTGCTCAGTGGAGCCAGTGCTGTGAGGAACAAGGATCTGCACGGTTCATCCACATGCACAAAGCTACTACAGGGTGCACTCAGCATGTGACTTTGCTTTCTCCCCAGGAATCCATGGGGAAAATAATCAGGACTAAGTTAAAGCTCAAAAAAATCATGATATCACATCTTTGCTGAAGCACTGCAGCTCAGAGCACCGTATGGAGTCCAAGACATTTACATACATCTACCAAACTCTTTCACTGGCAGTTCAAAAGGCAGCCACAAAGCAAAAGAAACTTGTACTGGGATCTGATGTTGTTTTTCCTATTTGTCCTCAATTCCTCCATCGGCCATGAAAATAGGAAGTGCCCAAACATGTAAAAGAGTGATCTCACCAGGCAAAGGTGCTTGACACTGACAGTGACACTGCGCAGACTGTGTCAGCTTGTGAGCTGTCACTGGAGGCAGGGAACTTGACCCAGTTTTCACTGCTGAGAGTGGGGCACTTTTAGTGTACTTTTTTTCCTCTGAAAAGTAACACAAACGACAAAAGTATTTTTCTCTCTGTGCCTTGGAAAGAAAAGGTGACTTCTGTAATGTCAGCTCTGCAAACTCAGTCTGACACCTGAAAATAACACCCTGATATTTCTGGCTGTGATAATATCAACAGCAGCAAAACCGCAGCATCTCAGCCTGTGCTGGACAGACACCAAGTTTAGTCCTGAGGAGGCTGGTGTCCTTGGACACCCTCCACCACAAGAGTGTGCCTGGCCATGTGCAGAGGAAGAAGGGCTTTCCAAGAAGGAATTCAGGCTCTGTGTTGACCCTTGATCTAAGCCTGCTGCTGGAAAAGCAGCCCACTCACAACAAGTTTCTACTTGGAAAATGTATTCCTGGTGAACTGTTTAAATGTTGGGGCCTAAGCAATCCCAGAAGCCACACACTTTGCCCAAGACTACCTGTTCTAAGGCAACAGATGGTGCTCACCCAAGCAGAAGCTGCAAAATGTGTATGTTATCTTTTCTGTTCATTTGTGGCTTTTGGTCCTATTTCTTGTGCTCTATTTGAGCCCTGCCCCACAGGCAGCAGGCAGCTTCCTCCTGGGCATTCCTGAGATCACCACTGTCTTACCCATGTTCAGGACTCAATGAAGAGTTTAATATACACAACATTGTTTCCTTCACTTCATCACATTCTAAAGAAGTGACAGTTCAGCTCAGTTTTGCTCCTGAGCTGACCCATGGTGGAGGACCATGGCATGGCCTCATATCTCTATGCCCATACATCACACTTCTACTTTGAGCACGCTCCTGTTGGAGGCCAGGATAAAATCTCACATCTGTTTAGAAGAGCTCTGAGCAGCAGCAAAGGACCAACCTACATGAACAACCTCTACACCAGGTGAAGGACTGCTACATCAGGGACAAAACACATCTGGGCCCTTCTGTAGCTTGTGGTATTCTTGTTTGCCTGACACAAAAAAAGTTGGTGGAACTCAGCATACAAGGCAAAAATGACATCTTGCCACTTTTCTACTGTTGGAGCAACACCGGGGAATGGCTTTGCTCTTTCTAAGCTGGGTATGATACATCAGCCATGAATTTCTGCAGTGCAAAGGTTTTTCAAGCCCACATATCCTAGACATAGTAGTGAAACAGCAGCCAACAGAGCAATGCCAGGCACTCCTGCCAGTACCACTTTCTTTAAACCTCTGAAATAGTGCAAAGAAGTAATAGAGCCATCAGAGGTATATTTGCATTCAGCCTTCCTGTGCTAACATCCCTGCTTTGATAGCACAACGGTGCATTATAATGGTCTGTCACTAAAGGTCTACATTTTGCTCCTTCTCTTGTTCACTGCTCAATACATAATCATATTTACTTTTCACTGACTTACATTTAAATAGTCTACCTGAGGTGTGTTCCAAAAAACTTGTACCCGTGAGTAGTCTCCCACAAGGCCAAACTTGTCTTTTGAGAAGGATCTGGTAACAACTGGAGTGGGCTGCCTGATTCCCAACCAATTATTTATTCAGAGAAAGCTGTGCCTGTGAGCAGACTGCAAAGTCCTCAGGTCTGTTTCTCACTCGGAATTACTCATGGGTTTTCTGAGTGACAGGTAGTTGGGCTGCAATAATGTGCATTTCGCAACTTTTTACCCAAATCAAGCTCAGTCACTCCGCGATCCGGGAACGTGACAACCCATGCAACAAGAAACACAGCACTGCACTGCACTTGGGATGCTGAGACAATGTATTGCATATATCATTACATACATATATGTAATGCAATACATTGTCCTGTAAAAATACCTAAAGATGCTCAGATTTTAGGAAAACTGTTGGGGTTATTTTTAGTTAGACTGTACCTGGACAGCTTTGTCGTGTATTTCTGTGAGGGGAATGCCAGCAGGTCTACTTCAAAGTGTCTCAGCGTGACACAGAACTGAATTGAGCTTCATGGACATAGCCTTTGTAATCAAAATGAAGGGAGAGCCAAAAGGCAAGAATGCCACCTGGAAGTGACCACTTGTTCCCCGGGTCTCTGCAAGCAAACTACCAAGTAATGTGACTCCAGAGGTTACAGGCTTGGGGGAAGCAGAGACACGCCTGTACTACAATGAGCAATGAACCTGCCATGTAGTGCAAGCCACTGGAGAGAGGATTTTCCACCATCTGGAAAGCCAAACAGTCCTCATCATCAACTTCAAACTAAGAGCAGAGATAGAACTAGGCAGAGAACACCATGCTCCGTTTTCTTGGAGTAGTTTAGGTGACAGAAATTATGACTGGTGCTGATGAAAATGTTAGAATCAGTAATATGGTTCCACCTGAAGCTACAGGGATCAAATCAGGCTTCTTGGACTTCAAGAGGGATGTGAAGAACAACAATTTCCAAAGAAATCATGATCTTAACAGTTTTTACATCCCGAAAGAAGGTATGCTTAAGAGAAAGTTAGCACCTGACATTAAAGATGATACATCCTATTTTGCAGTTAATCTAAACACAGTGGGGCAGGATCCTGAATGGATGTGCATCATCATGTTTACTGGAAAAACACAAGGGGTTCAAACTAGCAGGTTAAGGTACAAAAGTCGGAAGGTAGGGACAGGCAGAAGGAAGACTGTTGCTTGGTACTAAACTCTGGCCTCCTGTGTAAGTGAGAGTTGCAGCTGATCAACTTTACTTCTAAGGTACCTTTGGATGGAGATTTCCATTTAGCTAAGAAAAAGCAGCCTGCACAGGCTGTATCTCATTTTCTTGAGCCTTGTCTAAATTAAAACTGGTTTTTATTCAAGGAAAGCAATCGAGACAAAACAGTCAAAATATTGTAAGAAAAAAGAATAAATCTTCACTTATTAGAGGATAAATTATCAACTATTCTGAACAGTCAATATCATAATTGTAAGTGCAAGTAACTAACACAGAACTGACACAATGTATGTTTTACATCTGTTTAAAATCAAATGATGTGTTAAAAGATCCATCCCATACATGATGCACATAACCAAATACCTGCATGACACTTTATGCACTGGCAACATCAGCACTTCCTTGAAATAAGCTATAAAGGCACAACATGTTGGTATCTTCTCATCAATGGTCCACAAGAGAGAGGATACTTAATTTAGTGTATTTTTATTTGTTAATAAGTTTATGCTATAGTCTGATCTGTTTAAATGCTGGTATTTGCTGCACTGTATTTTTGGGGTTTGGTTTTGCCCCCAAAATATCTTTATCTTCTTATTCCAAGAACTAGAGTCTTTACATATAGATAATCACCCCAAAATAGAAGTTATCCAACACACGCTTCTGTCTGTGGAGGATGATTATCAAGGGGAAGACTGGGTTTCTTTTCCAGTGGCAACCTGTAATTCAACACTCAATGCTTTCTTCTGACATGTAATCTCATTAACCACAAACATGCATTTCACTGTTCTTTTCCTTAAAAATACACAGCAAGATCCCTATTCCAGTGAAGTCCACCAGAAATCTGGCATGTACTTTCACTAAGGAATTCAGTATCATAAGGGAACCATAAGCAATATCATCCTCTATATGATACCTCATATAAATTTATCCTGCAGATTTTTATTGCACAGGAATAACCATTTTGAAGACTTAGTTTCTATAAACTGTTATTTTACCAAGCTCTCTATTTACACAGACGTAATTTGCCAGTCCCTTTGTTCACTCAACAGCATCCAATTATCCCCTGAACTCTTTCACAGAACATTTCCCACTTTGGCATTTCCTCCTGTATTGCTGCTAACCTTTCTGTTAAGACTCTCTCTCAGGTCCATTAATAGCTCTGGCCTTTAGGAGCTGCAGACCCACTGACAATTCCCACCAAGTCCTTTTTCCATGGCAGTAGAGCTTTCCTCCCTGTGCACTTGCTTCTTCCTCACGTGGCTCCTGCTACACCCCAGTC